TGCCTGTGCTACCGCTGCGCGCGGCCTGGGTGGTGCAGCCGGGCCACCAGGCCGAGGGCCTCCCGCTGTAGTCCATGGCGCGGTGGGCGCGGTGGGGCGCAGGGAGGAGCATGGTGGAGCACGGGGAGGAGCGTGGTGGGGCGTCGTGGGTGGGCATGGTGGGAGGCGGCGGGGCCGGATCTGGAGGGAGGGGAGGCGAACGGCCGGATCCGGTCCGGGGGAGAGAGGGGGGGGCAGGGAAGGAGAGGGAGGGCCGGCCGGATCCGGGGAGAGAGAGGGGGCAGCGGGGAAGGAGAGGGAGGGGCCAGCCGCCGGGGAAGAGAGGGCGGCGCCGGGGAAGGAGATGGAGGGGCCGGCCACCGGTGGGGTTCAGGGAGGAGCACGGTGGGATCCGGGGAGGAGCGAACAAGCAGCGAAAGGCAGTGTGGAAGACGAGAAGAGAGTGGCGGTGCCTAGATTTGGGATTTGGAAGAAAAGGGTCTAGGCTTTGTACTCATGGGCCAGTCCAAAATTTACGCGAGGGCCGAATGTAAGTGGACATGCAAGCTCAATGTAAGTGGGCGCGTGAGCAAGGTGGGGCCCTTTTTTAGCGATGACAGACGGATTGATGCTATACCTGTTGCCAAGTGATGAGATAGTTCATCATTAAAGATGATTACCTATAGCGATGCACAATTAATCTCTAATTGGAGAATTAGCGTCCGATTGTCCGTGAGTTATCTTTAGCATCAGATCATCCATCGATAAAAAAAAGTTTTAGCGTCAGATGTTTGACGGTGATATGGTGTTGTGGTGTAGTGAGGCAAAATTATTTTCATGGCTAGCTAAATCAATGCACATAATTGTGGATAATCAAGAGGGCACAGCGTACACATATAACTGCAACCGAAATCACTCAATCTGTACAAGGTGAAAGCATAATCATATTGCCATCACTACTTAAAAAGCATAATCAACCACACTTTCCGTTCATGATGTGAGTATCACATTTTAACATAACCATATTGTTTGTTAACTAGATTTCCTATTCACCGGGGATGCAATGCTGCATTGATCAGCTAGTCATCCGGTCAATACAATTGCAGAAACAAACATAAATAACCATAAAGATCTGACTGACTAACAGGTATATCTGCTACCACTAGCTGTTAACATGCGTGGATTACAATTTAGGCAAAGAAATTACAACAATTGGACCACTCATAAATAAATAAATTGAACACAGCTTACTGGAGCCTGTATTAATACATCTAGCAATAATCGATAAAAGCAGCAAAAATATGGATTTATTACAGAAAGGCCAAAGCCCGGAATCTTCTACGGCTAAACTAATGCATCAAGGTAATCAAAAGGGTACACATATACTAGCAACATAAATAAGTCAATCTGTACAGCCATAAGTACAACCATAAATGATCTAGAAAAGAAAACCACATGATTTGTTTCAACCACAAGTTGCCATTATTACTTAAAAGTCACGCATAACTAACACATACCGAATGTTAAATCCCCACCAATTTCTAGTCAAGATGTGGGTCTAGCTAAACTAGCAATGGTGGTAGGGAAACCCCTAGGGCTCTGATCATAACAACTCAATTCTTGCTTAATCCCCTAATGCTTAGCCGGCCATTACTTATATGGCATAATGGCCGTCACCCAGCAGAGGCACTAACAAATTCCCTAACTTCACTGACAAGATGCTAACTTACTAACAAGATGCTAACAATCCTCCAACAACTGATAACCTGATCGGCCTTAGCCACTAGTGGACCCTGGCCCCTTCTTCTTCCTGATGTTTTGCTTGCCAATTAATGAAAGTGTATGCAACACTTCCACCCTCCTCTTGTGGAACAGCTCGTTCTCAAGCTATAATGACGGATAAGTGGACTTGAACTCCTCCAGCAGCTCCCAGGTGGAATCAGCAGGGCACTTATATATTGTTGTGGAATTCTGAAATAAAAATTAATGTGCCAACTTGTCTAGTTTGTCTGTTGCAAAAAAAAAAAACCGTGGATGACGAACACCAACCCAACTTTTGCCGAAAAATTAATGAGTAGCAACAAGCAATTGTTGTCACCAAAATCAAATGCCCACAGCTCCCATCGGAGCTCATGGTTTTTGAATTTTGAATCTAGTCAAGTTTCAATTGTCAGTTACCAGTGGAGAGGTGTATCGTGTATACTATATGTAATGTCTTGTTTGGATGACCATGTATCCATCTCAATCCATTTAGGATGCCAGGGTCAGCGGAGGACGGTCGTACACCACTTCAAACGGCGTTGTGTGGAGAGTTGTCTGGAATGACAAGTTGTAGCTGAACTCGGCCTAGGCAGCCACCGCAGCCAACTCCGTGGCCGATCACCGATGAGGCAATGCATGTAGATGCCGAGAATGTGGTTGCTGGCCTCTGACAAGCCGTCCTTTTGTGGATGGAACACAGAGCTTGGGAGGAACATGACATCATATCATACAGATGGAAGAGCTCGGTCTAGAAGGAGCTGGTAAAGACTGGGTCCCTGTCACTAATGATGGAGCATGGGATCCTATATATAGAGCCACGCCATATGGTCGAAGAAGGCATGGGCGACTAATGTCGAACTGTAGAGGTGGCCGAGGACGATGAAGTACATGTACATGGAGAAGCGGTCGACCATAATCAAGACCACCGACTTCCCGCCTACATTGAGAAAGCATTCAATGAAGTCCATCGCAATGTCAGCCTAGAAGGAGTGGCGCATGTCCAGTGCCTGCAGCAGGCCTGTGGGATGGAGGTGTTCGGTCTTGTTGTGCTGGCAGACGGAGCACCCTTGCACAAAGGCCCGCACTCACCTACTGGCATGCGGGCTATAGAATGATGCATACATGCGGAGTGTCTTCTACAACCCCTCATGGCTAGCACCATGGGCCGTGGCAAGTAGCTGAGGCCACAGCTTGAGGAGTCTAGGACAAAGGTGCAGCCGCGGTGCAGCATGAAGCCATCGTACATAGACCAAGCTGCCCCAACAAGGCCCTGGTTGATCTCTTGCCGTTAGGTGACGATGTCTGGCAAGGTGTTTGCCTCCACTACAAAGTCAGCGAATAGGTCGAAGTCGGGTCAGGATATATGGCTCATGCACTTAGCAATCTAAAAAATATCCAAACCTTGTAAAATATTAGCTACCAATAGGCAATCCTGTGCATCAAATTTTGCATTTTACAATATCTTTGAGATATATGGCTCATACACTTAACATAAAAGCTATTACCCGAGTGTTTATAAATGCTAACTATTGGAGTTGAACTGCACATAAATAAAATAATAAGACAAGGGCCAAAGGCGGGAACTATATATGGTTAAATGAACATGACCAAGTTAATAAGAGGGTACACACGAACCATATACCCATGACAGAAGCCAGTCAATCCATACAGCCTTTATGAACAAAGTGAGCTACACGATTTTTTTCAACTCCAAATTGCCATTATTATACTACTGAAAAACATGAAGCATAATAGCATACTAACAAGAATTTCTGCATCAGACGTGTAATGATGATATCTTAACAAAGTAATTGCAGTAAAAAGACTTAGCATGTGTCTAAGGTACAACCCCCACTCCCTCTCCCAAATTACAATCCAATTGAATAATAGCCTATCTGAGGTATTTTGCTATATTTGAGGGTTGAGTGATTGAACCACTCATAAATAAGAAACACACTGCTTGGAGGAGCCTATATTGACAAAACTGACTATCATCAATAGAACCAGCACAATGTAGATTTGATGCAGAAAAACCAAAGGCAAAATTATTTTTATGGCTAGCTGAATGAATGCACATAATTGTGGATATATAACTACAGCAGAAATCAGTCAAACTGTACAACAATAAATGATGTACAAAGTGAACAGCATGATTTATTTCAACTACACATTGCTTTTACTACTTTAAAAGCATGCACAACTGACATAGATTAAATATTTGTCTGGCAATGCTTTCCCACCTATTTTGAGTCATGATTTAAGTGAGTAATATAGATCCTCAACAGAAATCAGTTAATCCACAGAATACATGAATGATCTACAAGTTGAAAGCATGATTTTTCTCAACAGCAGATTTCCACTACTTAAAAAGCATAATCAACCGCACTTTCCACTCAGGACGTGAGTACTTCACATTTTAACATAACCATATTCTGTGTCAACTAGAATTTCCTATTCCTCAGTGATGCAGTGATGCATTGATCAGCTAGTCATCTGGTCAATACAATTGCAAAAACAAACAAAACACCCATAAAGATGTGACTGACTAACAGGAATAGATGCTACCACTAGCTCTTAACATGTGTGGATTACATTTTAGACAAATAAGTTACAACAATAGAATCACTAGTAAATAAATGAATGGAACACAGCTTACTGGAGCCAACATTAATACATCCAGCAATAAGCAACAAAACCAGCATGGATTTATAATAGAAAGGCCAAAGACAAGAATCTTTAATCTTTAATTTTATAGCTAAACTAATGCAGCCAAGGTAATCAAGAGGGTACACATATACTGGCAACAGAAATAAGTCAACCCGTACGGCCATAAGTACAACCATAAAATAAGCTTTGGGCATGCAAGTTGCTAGGCAAAGTAATGACATTGCACCGGACCGGACAGAAGAGCCACAAGTGCACATCAACACACACATCCCACACGTGTGTGTAAGGATCAGCACAATCACAACAGTTGAAAAGTAGAAAGAACATTATAGATATGGCCAACTGCACATCTATCCATTTCTCAATACTCGAAATGTACCTTTAACCAGCAACAACACAATAGTTAACTCTACTACAACATTCTTCTTCATTTTCTAACATTCTAATAAATAGGAGACACATAGACAACTATTTACTCTCACAAAAGGGGTAGAAAACTCTAGAATAAAAAGAATAATAATGGGAAGATTCATCTTGAGAGCAGGGACAATGATGATTCCTCTTGGCTCCTATAACTGAATTAGGGTACTACTTCACAGGAACTTATCAATTTCTGTCATTATGATCTCTTGGGTGGCAAAGCTGTGTTTCACCAAGCCTCCTTTACTACTGGTCAGGTTAGAACTATTGGGGTTATGTTAGAGGAAATGGTGTGTGGGATACGCATGCTCATACCCATTGTAATCGTAATATAGCTTATCACCACAAGCTATATCACGACAGGCCACCAACAAGACATGGCTCTCCCCATCGATGTTATACCGCACACACTTGACATTTTTCTTCTTCTTACCATCCCTGTAACAGTTTCGAAGTTAGAATACACACATCCTTTCTTTGAGGTGACAACACAGTACAACAGTTGGAAACTGAACTTATGGGTACAAAACAAACAACTTACGGTGTGTGGTTATTGATGCCACTGAAAAAGCGGGAAATGTTCCCCCGCTTGTCAGGGCAAATGACCAGATTTTGTGAAGGATTAGCTGATAGGAGGAGTGTCATAAGACAGTCGCAATCATCGTTTGCTCTGTTCTCTAGATAATCAACGTCCCCAGAATATTCAGCTAGGAAGGTCATATCCTTTATGTTGCCATCAGCCTGCACAGTGAAACTGGAAATATATATGCATGTGTCATTCCTGACTAAAAATGTAAAGGAAAAACTGTGTGTGTGTGTATGCCATAGAGTCCACTGTTTTGCTCTCACAATTTGTGTGTATAGTGTGTGACACTGGAACGCTGCAAGCAGTGTTGCACACACAAGTTCCAGTGGCATGCACACGAATGGTAAAATTGGATAGCAACACCACAAACTATGAATTAAATAGACAAGTTTCCAATAAGTAATTAACTGAGTGTAGTGAGTTCAAGATAGTACCCTTCCTGGGAATCATAGACCACGAGAAGTGGAGGAAATTCACCTCTTTTTTGCATGGTTGTGCATAGCTCTAAACTTTCCTTATCCTCTTTGTGCAGAACCTTGAAAGTCGAGGAGAGCAAAATTAGAACAACAAAACACCAAATGGTTATTACAGAATTTCATGTTAAAAGATTTTCTAACCTGTATACCGCCTACCTCCAATCTTGCCAGATTGGAAGATCTAGGAGCCATATTAGGCATATAAGTCAGTTCATTACAAAACTCTGTTTTGGAAGTAGTCAAGGCAGAGGCCAGAGAGGCTAGTTGTTTGAGTCTTCTAGCTCCATCTTCAGATGGAACAAATGGCAGTATCCTCCTCCTCTTCTTGTGCATCACATGAGAACGCTTCCTTCGCCTTCTAGCATCTAAGAAACATTAAGTAAATTACTTGATTTAGTACCATAACAAGCACATCCGTTTTTGTACTTAATCTATCTATATTTGTTCTTTATACCATTTCTGTACAACCATAAATGATGTAGAAAAGAAAACTGCATGATTTGTTTCAACCACAAGTTGCCATTACTAATTAAAAGTCATGCAAAACTAACACACGCTGAATGTTAGATCCCCACCAATTTCTAGTCAAGATGTGGATCTAGATAAATTAACTAGCAATGATGGCAGGGAAATGAGCCTGATCACCATCCCTATGAGGCTCTAATCATAACAACTCAATTCTTCCTTAATCCCCTAATTCTTAGACGACCTTTGGTTATATGGCCCAATGGCCATCACTCGGCAGAGGCGCAAACTCCGCAACTTCACTGACAAGATGCTAACAAACCCCCAGAACTCATAACCTGATCTGCCTTAGCAACTAGTGGACCCTGACCCCTTCTTCCGGGTGTGTTGCTTGCCAATGGAAGTGTCTGCAACACTTGTATCCTCCTTGCTCGTTCTTGAAATAGAATGAGGGATAAGTTGGCTTGAACTCCTCCAATGGACCCCTGGTGGAATCGGCAGGAGAAACGACAATAGAATGTAGCTTGACTTCTATTTCTTACATTTGTAGCACTGCAGCTTCGCTCCTCTGACTTTATTTTGCAAGACAACTAGAATGTAGCTTATGACTGATTTGTTGAACATTATACTCTCTGATGTAGTACAATTTTAAGATATGATTATTTGTACCAAGACTACTGAGTGCAACATTTACCGCTTGTGTGGATGCATGATTAAATGATGATTATTAGATTATGGGTATCAAGACTACAAAGTGTGACATTTAGGATGCATGATTAAATGAGCTATGGATCACTGATTTGAATGGTTAAATGATGGTTTCTGGATATGCAGAATTAGCTTTCCCTGATGGTTCTGGATTGTGTTGGGAGCTGCGCCATTGAAGTTCTTGAGGAACACCACATGGAACACATTATGGATGTGGCTTTGGCGGGCAACTAGAGCCAATAGGTGACGAAATCAATGAGCTTGAGCACGTTTAACAACACATAGAACCTTGGCGCCAGCTTGCTGTTTTGATGATCCTTGATGGTGGACATGGCGCGCTGGTGTAGGCGAAGCTCGCCGCAGTCCCCAACCTCAAATGACACCTCCCACGTGGGACTGCTTCATGATGTTCTGGGCGTAGAGTAGGCGTTCCCTGAAGTCATCTAGGAATGCATCCAAATCTGTCAACTACTTGTTAAGGGCAGCCACACACGTGAGGCCAACTAGTAGGATTCCAGGGTCAGTGGAGGAGGGCCATAAACCACTTCAAATGGCCAGGCGAAGAGAGTTGTCTGGAATCATAAGTTGTAGGAGAACTCGGCCCAGGGTAGCCACCACAGCCAACTCCGTGGGCGATCAACGATGAAGCAACGCAAGTAGATGCCAAGAATGTGGTTGGTGTCCTCTGACAAGCCGTCCATTTTTTAATGGAACACATAGCTCAGGAGGAGTGCGACAGCAGATAGGTGGAAGAGCTCGATCCAGAAGGAGCTAGTAAAGACCGGGTTCCTTCTAATGATGGAGCATGGGATCCTATGGAGCCGCACCATATGGTTGAAAGGCATGGGCGACTGATGTCACGTTGTAGGGGTGGCCGCGAGCGATGAAGTTGACATACTTGGAGAAGCATTATTAGATGAAGTGCATCGCAAAATCAGCCCAGAAGGAGTGGGGCATGTCCAGCGGCTGCAGCAGGGGCCCGCGGGATGGAGGTGTTTGATCTTGTTGTGCTGGCAGCCGGAGCCCCCTTGCACAAAGTCTGCACCCACCTGCTGGCATGGAGGCAATAGAATGAGGCACACATGTGGTGGAGTGTCTTCTACAACCCCTCGTGGTCGGCACCATATGGGCCATGGCAAGTAGTTGTGGCCACAACCCAGAGAAATCCGGGACGAAGATGCGGTTGCGGTGCAGCATGAAGCCATCAACCATAGACCAAGCCTCCCCAGCAAGGTCTTGATTGATCTGTTGCTGTTAGGTGACATTGTCCGGCAAGGTGTTTGCCTCCGCTCGAAAGTGAGTGAATAGGTCGAAGTAGGGTTGGGAGAGGACACTAGCAGGGCATGAGCGGCCGCATTCTGCTAGCCCGGCTTGAACTCTACCACAAAGTCATACCCAATGAGCTTACACTCACCCAGGTGTGCTGCAGATAGTGGAGCAACATTGATCCAGGAGGAACTTGAGGGCAAGTGGTTGGTACAGATCGTGAATGGCCAGGCCCAAACGTATGGCCTCTAGTGCCGTACAGCCTTCACCAGGCTAAATTTGGCGTGCTAGGGTGCCACAGACCGACTAAAGAAGGCGATTGGGCCAGTGACTTTGTGCATGAATGCGCCGAAGCCGATGCCTATGGAGTCGTAGTAGATGACGAATAGAGCCATGAAATCTGACAACTGCAGCACCAACCCAGAGTTGAGGACCTCAAAAGTTGTAGTCAGTGCATTAGTCCACAGAAAGGCATCACAGTTGAGGAGTACCTCGGCCACTACATCTCGTAGGATGTCATGCCCATGGACTCGGCCTGAGTTGATGCTGTGCAGTCCTGGCTGATGTCATGCATGGACTCTCTACGTACATTGTGGCTTCCTCGGCCTCATGGGCTACTACTTCCGCTTCATCAACAACTACGACGTCATCGCCAAGCTGCTGACGGCACTTTGTAGAGCTAGGACGAATGTAGGCCAAATGGAGTGTTGAAGATGGTGTGAAGGTGGTTCTCGTGCGAAGCATTTGCACACACCCACTGGACTCGGTGGTCATGGCACCAGAATTCCATTGACCGGTGCTCGAAATCCCATAGGATGAGACCCAAGGGCTTGAGCTAGTGGCATCCCATAACAGGGTCACAGTCATCGAGGGGGATCACGAATAGGTTGATGAAGAACTCCCGCTGTAGACGGGAACGCCAGTGCAGACCCTGGACGAGGGCACCAAATCACAGTTGGTGACCCCCATGGTGAGATCAGGTCATGGCTCCAGGTTGTGGTCAAGGTGGCAGGCGGTGTGCGTCGAGATGGAGTGGTTGGATCCGTAATCAACCAAGACCCAGAGCAAAGCACCGGTGATGACGGTGGAGAGGTGCATGTTGTCGGTTGTCTTGATCTTAGTGAGGGCATGCACAGAGATTTTAACTTTGTCTTTGGAGGTCGGGTCCTCCTCTAGAGCACCATTGAGTGGGACATCGTGGACCAACTCCATCATGTGTGGGCCCTACCTAGAGCAGGACTTGTGATGGTCCTTGGTGAACTTTTCCTAGCAGTTGAAACCAAGTCCATCCGCCTAGCTTTGGGCCATCTCCTGCTGTGTCAAGCACTTCAAGCTAGCGCCCGCCAGCGGTGCACCCTTTGTCAGAGCTGGTGGTGTGGTGATCGGTGCATTTCTGCCTGAGGTTGGTGTGCGCGGCGTAGCCACCGCCGCTGTTGGTTCCGGGTGTTGTGACAGGGTTGATCGGGGAAGCACATGGGTCGTGCCCTGGTTGTTGACCACGTCCAAGTCCAGGAAGCGCTCGAAGGCCCACGCGAGACCCATGGTGTCATCAAGGGTCTCTAGGTTCTAGAGTTCCACATCGGTATGCAGGGTGTTGCGGAGGCCAGTGGTGAAGATGTCAATCTATTGCAGCGCTCCATGATATTCTTGCAGCAGGCCAACATGGGGTAACTTCGGCGGGTACTGAGGGAGTAGTTGCGCATCAGGGGGCCAAAACGGCGCTGAACCAGGTCAATGAATTCTAGCCATGTCGGGGTGCTGCGGTTCTGCTCCAGGCGATAGTACTAGTCTTGGGTTGCACCATCCATGTAGGAGGAGAGCCACACCTTCTCACTATTTGGTGTCAACGGCACGGATGAGTTGCTGCGCTTTGTGGAGCTAGACCACAAGATCGACGGTGTCGTCATAGCCCGGGAAACACAGCTTGTTGGTGGGCTGGGGAAGGGGGGGATTCAGCGGAGCGGAATCAGGCTTCCCCATGTTCTTGCACTGTAGGAGCTGCCTGACTCAATCTTATCGGTCCGTAGCCTATTGATGGCCAAGATGAGGCGGCTCTCTAGTCTCCTTTCATCATCGACACCTCGTTATTGATGGAGGAGAGGTCGGCGAGGATGGTGTTCATGGCAGCCTTGAGATCGGCACTAGTCTACCAAAGAAGATATGGCTGAATTGTTGGCTTTATTGATCTGGCTAAACTAGCAATGGTGGCAGGGAAATGAGCCTGATTGCCCTCCCTAGGAGGCTTTGTCCATAACAACTCAATTTCTGCTTAATCCTCTAATGCACCCGGCAGAGGCACTAACAAACAAGCTGACTTCATTTGCTTAATCCTCTAATGCACCCGGCAGAGGCACTAACAAACAAGCTGACTTCACTTGCTTAATCCTCTCATGCACCCGGCAGAGGCACTAACAAACAAGCTGATTTCACTCGCTTAATCCTATAATGCACCCGACAGAGGCAATAACAAACAAGCTAACTTCACTGACAAGATGCTAACAAACCCCCCAACAAGTGATAAGCTGATCGGCCTTAGCCACTAGTGGAAGCTGACCCCTTTTTCTTCATGGTGTATTGCCTGCCAATGAAAGCGTGTGCAACAACATCACTTTTGACGTAACCATACTCTTTGCTGCCTATAATTTCCTAATCACAGGGGATATTGCAGGGCAAGGCTGCTTAGATTAGATCACATGGTATATTTCCACGCAATTATGCATCAGTCGACTACCCATGCAGTCAAACAATTGCACAATCAAACATACAAGACCCAAAAAAAGTCACTGTCATACTAACAGGAAAATCTGGTAGTGCTAGCCATAAAGAACAGTTCCCGCCTATGACCATAGAGATTACAATATTATACTGCCAAATAAAAAACAAACAAATAGAACACAACTCACTGGAGCGTTGTGTACTAATACAA